TGTCACACACCGTCTGTCAATGCAGTTATGTTTTGCCCAATTGGAAAAAAGATTGACAGGCTGCACAATGCCAGGGAAAGTGGGCATTTTTTGTGTTCTAATATTTCTGTTTCAGATGAGAGATAAACTACCCCTGCTTCAGGGATGACAGTAGTATGGATCATGAGGAAATGAGCCTCTACTTTGGCACCAAAGCCCACAATATGAATTGAGGACGATCCGGGAGAAAGCAACTGGAGATGAACGGAACAGTAAATCTACACACACACACTAGGTCTCCCTGACCCAACCCGGCCATTCACTCAGACTGTGGATGAGCGGTGTGGGTGCATGGTGTCGGTACTTTTGCAGCCTCACGGAGGGCCACTGAGACCCACTGCTTACTTCTCAGCAAAACTCGATCCCGTGGCAGCAGGGTTGCCTCGCTGCTTGCGGGCTGTGGCTGCCGCTGAGAAAGCGGCCCTAGCATCACGTGACCTTGTGGGATACACTGAACTAACTTTGCTTGTGCCCCATGCTGTTTCCCTGATCCTGCTAGAGCAGAAAACCTCTCACCTTTCTGCGGCTCGTTGGCTGAAATACAACACGGTGCTCCTTGAACTCCCCAATGTCACGGTGAAAAGATACACACAGCTGAACCCCTCTTCACTGCTGCCCACGCCAGAGGAAGGGGAGGCACACTGCTGTATCGCCACAATAGAACAGATATGCACTCCCAGGCCAGACCTGAAAGAGGTGCCTCTGACTAATCCTGACTTGATTTTCTATACAGATGAATCCGCGTCACGTGACAACACTGGGAAGAACCGAGTCGGCTATGCTGTGTGCTCTGATTTTGATACTATAGACTCTGGTAGTTTGCCCCACCACCATTCAGCACAAACCGCTGAACTGGTCGCGCTCACCAGGGCTTGTGAGCTGGCAGCGGGCAAAACTGTTAACATATTCTGTGATACGCGTTATGGTTTCTCTGTGGTGCACGACTGGGGGGCACTGTGGAAACACCGCAATTTCATGAAATCTGATGGTAAACCAATTCTTAATTCCACACAGGTTGGACATCTGCTGAAAGCTGTAATGTTGCCCTTAGAGATCGCTGTATGCAAATGCCAGGCCCACACTAATGCCACTGACCCCATCTCTGCAGGGAATCGGCGCGCGGACAAGGCAGCGGCATACTCACCTCTACCCACACACACACACTACCTCACTCAAGACGTTGATATTTTCTCCTCTCTGTCAGCAATGCAGGCACTGGCTACTCCAGCAGAGACGGTGCTGTGGGAGGGAAATGGGGCTCAACGACGGCATGGTGTGTGGCTGGGACCAGACCTCAAACCGTGCTTACCACGGCATTTCTTCAGACATTTTGTGATTTTAGCACATGGTCGAGACCATGCCTCAAAAGGAGGGATGTGTAATTTAATTACACAAAATTGGTATACAAAGGGGTTTACGGCATTTGCACAGAGATTCTGCCAAACATGCGCTATCTGCCTCGCGCACAACCCAGGTAAGTCCCAAATTATCCAACAGGCTGCTCATCCTCCGCCCCTGCGCCCATTTCAACATGTCCAAAGGGACTTTGTTGAACTCACACCATGCCAAGGTAAGAAATACTGTCTGGTTCTGGTGGATCTCTGGTCCAAATGGACTGAAGTATTTGCATGCAAACACGCCACGAGCAATGCGGTGGTGAAAGCTCTGCTCACAGAAATTGTGCCACGATGGGGCGTCCCGGAAAAAATCTCTAGTGACAATGGCAGTCACTTTGTAGCAAAAGTCATTGAGGAAGTAGGTGAATTTCTGGGCATTGATATACGTAAACACTGCAGTTACGCCCCCTGGAGCGGAGGCGCGTGCGAGCGAGAGAATGGCACTCTGAAAAACAAACTTGTTAAAATCTGCGAACAGACAGACCTGTCTTGGATCAAAGCTCTGCCGCTAGCCCTCATGTACATGCGCATGAAAGCCAGGTCAAACCTAAGCCCATTCGAAATCCTCTTTGCCAGACCGCCCAACTTGGGCGCGGGACCCCCGACCAGAGATTTGCCAAGCACCTCTTTGTGTGATGACGACATGCTGTCCTATTGTAAGGAAATTAATGCACTTTTGTCCTCTATTTCTGCCCAGGTCAGGAGCGCCCTGCCACAGGCTGCGCAGGCGGCTCCGCACAAGATCAAGCCAGGCGACTGGGTCCTGGTGAAGGAAACGAGACGAAAGCATTGGCGGTCCAAGCGCTGGCTGGGCCCATTCCTCGTCCTCCTGGTGACGGACATTGCCGTTAAGATCGCGGAGAGGACAACTTGGATCCACGCCAACCACCGTCGTGCGGTGCTGCCACTGAGGGCCATAGACGAGGACACCGAGGGTGGGGACGGACCAGGCCCATCCGCGGCTCCCTACGCTGAAGAGGTCGGCCGGCGTGCGACCACCGTCGGTGAAGCAGGCCAACAACAACACCCAGAGAATCCCAGCGTTCCCGAGGCGCAACCCCCGGAAGAACACAACGCCCCAACTCCCCTGCCTCCGAATCCCGAGGCGACCCCCCTTTGCCCAACTCCCCAGCCCCCGGACCCCAAGGCCACACCCCAAACCCCGAGCACTCTGCCCAACCGAGTGCTGAGGCCAAGGCTTCAACGCGATTAGAGTCCAAGACCAAACATCACCATGACCACTAACGCTCCACACACGCTCAGAGGGAGCGGTGCCACTGACTGCAAGACGGCACTACTCGTGAGCATTCCCGCGAAAAAGACTACCGAATGTAGTCCGGCTAAGACCGGCATGGGCCCTTGGACTATTATGCTGGCCACGCTGACAGTACTTTCCGTGCTGACCGTGTTTATTATGTTAGTATTGTCTTCATATATTCCGGCTAATGATGAGGACGGAGGTCTTATCCAACAGGGCATAGCCAATCTGACTAGACTCCGGGACGCCATGCAAGCGGACAATGTCACGGACACTCCTCACGGTCTGGACTGGCTCCTGTCCTCCTGGCGGAGTGTGCTCATTAATCTTGGTTTAGCCCTATTGACTGTTCTAACGTTTTTCTTTCTTGTTTACCTTGTTTTTATTTTTTTCCACTTGTTCCGCCTACAATTTAGGGGGAGGGTGTTATGGCAAGCTGGTTAGTCTCAAGGACGCCAACTCACCCCCCGCTGCTCTATTCAACTAACCTGCAGGAAGGAGCCGGGCTCCCCCCTGCACCGACAGACAATGACGCAAATTACTATCTCACCCTTGTCCCTTTTACATTCTGCATGTCTATTGTCCCTTCTGTTGCATCTCTCACCAGGCAAGGCGCCTCGCCTCCGGATGCCCGTCTCAAACTGTGACCCCCTCCCATCTTTTGTGGGCGTGACTGTCTTTCATGTGTTGTCTATGTAAACAGGAACCTGTGTCTGGCCGCGGCAGAGCTGATGTACGCTGCTTTTGTGTATGTGAGCTCTCCGCACGTGTGTACAATAAACTTACGCTCCTGATTAAGACAAATACCTTTTGAGCCTTTTCCTTTATTGGAGTAGATAATGTCATGACAAGACACAGGTGCGACACATCAGGGCAATCATCAGAACAGGAAGTCAAACTCAAAAATCCAAAATAAAATGAATTTGTATTTTTACTTATTTTATTTTTTTAATTATTTCTTGAAGCCTGGCCTTGTAATTAGCTATGTCTCCACGAGAGTTTGTAATGATTTATATGTTCAATACAGAAAATACAAAACAAAGCAGGAACTAAAAACAACAACCATAACAGAACCAGCTTCTTTACACTCTCTGTCTTATGCTGCCGTTGTGTCCTTGGGCAAGACACTCAACCCCACCCTGCCTGTAAGGAGTGTGGAAGTAATGTTAGCTGTATTCTTGTCTGTACTGTGTTATTTTGTATTTTATTCTATTGTATGTCTGTAACTTCCTGCCGAGGGACTTCAGATGAAAACTTGAAATCTTGGTAGCTATAATTCGGCATATTTACATTTGTTTTATACTGATGTTCATTAATGTGCATTATCCCTATCAGTTAAATACATAACATAAGTAGTGTTTGCGGCATGCCTTGATGTATAAATGTGTATTTAGCCTACCCGTCTCCTTTGCTGCTAACGGAGCCTGTGGAGAGTAGCGCCACAATCTTGACCAGCGATTACATTTGCTAAACATTCCTCTTGCTCCTGCTTCAGTTTCTTGATAGAAACAGACCGGATTACTTTACTATCGCATTCTTCGCCATTGCCAAACTACAACCTGCCCGTTCGACGCAAACTCTTGACGTCACCGGCACCGACCTACAACACCGGCCTTCCGCGCTCTCTGAGTAGCCGGTTGAAATACGACCGATTGTATTCGCTAACATGGGGACTAGACCCAGATGTTACATGCAGTGAAATGATGATTGAGCGGAGTGTACGGATGGCTATGGCCGGGCTAATTCCGAGGCTCTGTAAAAACAAACAACTGAGCTTGCGCGCAGTTACGAGCACGAGCGTCGATGATTGACAGCTCTTGACATCACTTGATTGGTTAACGTGGACGGCATTGTGGATTCTGAGCTATACCTAAGAGAAGGGAAGGTGGGACTTACCCATAATATTGGAATTTATAAAATGATTAATTTTGTCAACTTTTAAGGCCAGGAGGTCAATTTCACACAATTCTTAAAAAAATTTAACTCATTTAGAGTTACAGTCTATCACTTTAAGTTCCCTGAGATATTTATTCATGTATAGCCCTAAGTCACAACAGTAAATTGAATTGAAATGAATTGGATTGTATGTGGCATCTTTCTCAGCGCTTTTGTACAAACCGTCTGCACCGTATTCTCTGCTTATTACAGTGTTGACATTCCTCAGAGCGCCGTCACTCGGACACCGTCGCACGCCGCATGTTCTGCCCGATCATTATGAAGATGAAAGGCCGTTGCTGCAGCCTGACAGACGACACCCAGGGCTTCAAATAATACCCCAGCGCTCATTTCCGGACACATCAGCCACAATGGAGCTGGACAAGGTTGTTAACTCCAGAGCAGGGAGGTCAGGGTTATCACAGGAGCGAGAGAAAGAGAACTGCGATAACTGCCTCTGACATGATCCGTGCATGAGAACGAGGCCAAAGTGCAAAAGAGAAAGAAAGTCAGGTACAGTAGTTATAACAGGGAAGTGACAGTGTGAGAATCGAGTGACTTTTGTCCTATCAGAAATGGCAGCCGAGATGAGAGCAGGGGTCTCCAACCTATAGCTGGGAAATTACTAGTAGCTCGCCACCCTCTTCAGAGTAGCTCCCCCAAAGGCTTGTTTGGGAAGCTAAATCACATGCTCACAACTATTGAAAAGGCCTACTTTAGCTTAGACTAATAAGGCACTAATACAGTGCCTTATGATAGAGTGTCTTATGAGTAAAAGACTCCTGTGTCATGTGGTGAGATGAAGGAGGCCCCAAAAAGCAGGAATGCAAAAGAATATTTATTTATCCAAAATGAATCACAGAGACTGGCTGCCTCGCATCTGTCAGTGTGCCCCAGGGCAACTGTGGCTACAGTAGTTTATGGAGTGCATGAATAATGACATTAGAAGCATCTTTGCGTGTACAAAAAGTGTTATAGAAAACGTATTGATTACTGATATTTTTCCTACATCTATTTTCTTTTATATATTCAGGTTATTGATTGAAAAATCTGGGTTGAATTCCATTTTTATATCTGTGAACACTTAGGTCATTTTTATCAAATTAACACAGGCTGTTACCTGAATCCAGGGCTGTATAGATTTTGTGTGTTTGCATGTTCTCCTTGTGTCTGCGAAGGACTCTTACAGGTGGTACGGTTACCTCCAGGTGCTACAGTTTTCTCCGGATGGAACAATTTCCTCCGGGTGCTACAGTTCCCTCTGGGTGCTACAGATTCCTCCGGGTGCTTCAGTTCCCTCCGGGTGCTACAGTTTCTTCCGGGTGCTTCAGTTCCCTCCGGGTGCTACAGTTTCCTCCGGGTGCTACAGTTCCCTCCGGGTGCTACAGTTTCCTCCGGGTGCTACAGTTCCCTCCGGGTGCTACAGTTTCCTCCGGGTGCTTCAGGTCCCTCCGGGTGCTACAGTTTCTTCCGGGTGCTTCAGTTCCCTCCGGGTGCTACAGTTCCCTCCGGGTGCTACAGTTCCCTCCGGGTGCTACAGTTTCCTCCGGGTGCTTCAGTTTCCTCTGGGTGCTACAGTTCCCTCTGGGTGCTACAGATTCCTCCGGGTGCTTCAGTTCCCTCCGGGTGCTACAGTTCCCTCTGGGTGCTACAGTTTCCTCCGGGTGCTACAGATTCCTCTGGGTGCTACAGTTTCCTCCGGGTGCTACAGTTTCCTCCGGGTGCTACAGTTCCCTCTGGGTGCTACAGTTTCTTCCGGGTGCTACAGTTCCCTCCGGGTGCTTCAGTTCCCTCCAGGTGCTACAGTTTCCTCTTTCACTTAAAACATGTAGAATATGTATGGACGTACTGTGACCCTGAGTGCACATTGAAAACCACAGCAGATTGACGAGCGCTGTGTGAGACGGCTTTTTTCTTGTCGACTTTGCGTTAACGTTACGCACTGACACCTCAGACAATGAAGTCTTTGTAAATCAACACAGTGCCTCTTGTGTTGCAAATTCGACAAGAGTAACGAGAAACAACAGAAAAGCTTATAGCATTCATTTAACGTCTGGCTCGACCTGCGCTGACTATTGCTGACTTACATAACACTGTTTACAAAGTTTGCTCGCCACCGTTCTTCAATTCAAACCCGTCACTTGTCTCGCAGAGTGAAGCCCATCTCCTGTTTTTTTTTTCTTCTTCTCCCTGACAGCCCGACTTGCCGAGCACTTGATTAGTGTCTGCGGGACGGCCGATAAACGCTGCTGATGGCGAGGTTATTCAAATGGCAGACGCTGACGGAATGAGGCAAACGCAGAGTGGCGGACCTAAGTGACGGCCTTCATTGTTTAAAGTTGACAGATAACGACGCTGGCAAGTCCAATTTCTCGCTTCTCGGCGGAAAACCTTAACTCAAAGCTATAACTAAGGCCAGGGAAGTGCAATTCAAAGCGCTTAAGACAACTAAAAAGGAGATTAAAAATCTAATATGGACTAAGTGATTCTAGGAAGTCAAATAGATTGTCAAAATATTGAAATTGTGGCTAAACTTTTCGGGAAATATTGTTAGCAACCCCAAGATATCGTCACACAAATGTTTTGGGACCACTTAACTCATTGACTGCCATTGGATTATTAATTTGAGACCCATTTTATATTAGAAGAGAAGGTTTCAAAATCAGTTGTTGTTTTTTTTGTCTGATCCCCCCAAATCGAAATAACCCCATAGCAACGCCCTTAGAGACGAAAAAACTTCACAGCCCTTGGTGACGTCAGAGTGGGTACGTTTCAACGCTGTAAGTTGTTTACAATTTGGTATTCGTTCTTTTTTCGCGGATATTAAAGATGACAAGGCCGTGTACAGCGAGTGTGAAATTACTACTAGACTGTGATGCTTCGTTGTCACTGAGATAGTCCAGTGGTTGTGTCGATGGACTGCCAATCCAGATACTTGGGTTCAAATCCCACCTCAGACACTTTTTCACTCTCAAACGGCAATTTATGTGTAGTGAGCAATTGTCACCTGTAGAGGGCAGTATTGTGTTGGGCATCAGTGGAGAGAAGAGAAAAGGCAGTCCTGTGGCATAGATCCATGGTTTTCAATGCATGGGCGTGTTATAGAATTTCTGCACATAACAAGAGTAAAATAATGTAAACAACCCAGAGCTGTAATTCCAAACAAAGTGTGAGTTTATTCATTAGTAAATGTGCACAATTACAATGAATAACAGAACCGATACCAATACCACCTGCAGCCGTCCGGAATCGACTGCCACGATTGAGGAAATGACTGTACATTAAGTAGACCAGAGTAAACAAACACATATCTACTCTAGATATTACATAAATGAAGTCAACATTGATATGTGTCGCTCAAGGCTTCTCTTTACGCGTCCTAACGCTGATACAACTCTGATATATGTAACAATCTGCTTGTGAACTGAACATATTGTTCTATGACCAAGGTCAAAGACATGATGCAGCACGTCTCAATCTATCACTGAGCTGCTGCCAACAGAGCATTATGGCCTGTATCTGAATCCAGAGTTGACTATTAGTTAATAACTTACACTCATAACTATTTGGTGTTAATTCAGATTGCTTTACTAAAATATTTCTATAACAATCCTATCTCTTGATAAATATAAAACCTTGGTTTATCTTAATCAACTTAAAATAATAATAGAAATCACAATGATTATGAATTAACACAAAATCTGAACATTTGAGCAGACACACACAATAGTTAACTAACTTTATTACAATATTAAAACCCACACTTATATACTTGCTTAGATGAATCCCCTGACTGGGTCACAGACGTCTGCCCAGGGGAGACGAGGCGTTACTGGACCCGATGGGTCATCAGCCGACCCTCACCTCTCCCAGAATCGACGCTGTGCCCGCACAGTAGACACTCCAGCAGTGCTGGGTGCACTCTCTCTCTCCCTGAGAGTAGAACCTGAGTATGTGGATTTAAAGTAGACCTGGTCCAAAGATGGTTCCAAGTCCAAGCCAATCTATTGGGTCTAATGCTTTGTCATTAGATCTGTAACACTTAACCTTAAACATGGATGCCTCACACTTTTCTGACCTCCTGTGCTTTCCACATGGGGTCAGAGTGGGTGGAAGCATCAGAGTTAGTGCACTGATTATCAATGCTTGAAAACCCTAGCATGTATGTGTACCACAAACCAATGCTAAGTTGTGCTAATCCTGAAACGTACACAAAACAGTTTCAAAAGCCCGTTTTGACGCAATGCTGAGATAGCCTCTCTCAGTCCACCCCCATCCTCGGGGTGGGCGTCCCGGCCTCCAGGTCAGACCAGCCGATCGTCCCAGTCTCTGACTCCGCTTCGTGAAAAGCGGGGAACAATGTACCTGACCCATGGCTCAGAGCTTCTGTCTGTGTAACACCTGGTCAGAAGGCAGACCAAGTTTTGTCGTGGGGACCCTCGAGGTGGTCCCTTCCTTCGGCCGTTGGGGAGCAAGCCTTCCTGCTTCGGCTCCACTTCTGCGTTGGAAGTCGGGCACTGCCGCCCCCACTTCTTTGCTGCATCCTTGCGTTGGAGAAGGTCCTCAGACCCGTCTCGTTGGTCCCCTTTGGCTCTGGGCAGCTGGGGTCCACCTGCGGTGGGCTGGACCCATGATGGGGCGTCGACCCTCGCGGTGGGGTGCCCCCGGCACTTTTGGTTAGGGCTCCTCCTGGCATTCGCCGGACTCAGACCCCTCCTCTGGCTCGACCCTCGTGGCCAAGGCGTGATGGCGCTCCGTGTCTCCCTCTTGGAGATGTGACCCCTCCTCATGGAGAGGTTGGTCACGTTTCTGAAACAATGTTTTGGCAAAAGGGTTATTTGCCCCCCCCCCCCTGCCTGTCCTCTGGGTCTGCGCTGCCAGGGCTTAGCCTCAGTCTATATAATAATAATAATAATGGTCTCCATATAACTTTACTCATGGGTTATCAGTTTGAGTTTTCAAAACACTCCTCTCTCCAGCCTTGGAGAGCAGTAAGTGCATTCTGCTGCTGTCTGCTCTCCTCCATGTGCAAGTCAGGCCTCACTAACTAATTATTCTCTTATGGTAAAACAACAACCTATATCCTAAAGATCAAATAAACTTTGAGTGTTTTGATGATTGTGTATCAAGATGAAAACTCATGGAGACCTTTGTTTTTAAAAAAACCTAAATATTTAAATTGAAAAGGAGCTACGATCAACTCAGGGCCTGTCCTCTTATGGTGCAGTGCAGGTGTTCAAACACCAGGCCTGTGGGCCAATTGTGGTCCGCCAGACATTTTAGTGTCTTCTGAAATGATTCTCAATTATAATTAAGTATAAACTGGCAGTCTTAATTGCAAGGTTAATTTGAACCCCAAGGCATTATTCCTAATTTTTTAAAACAAACTCCCTCTGGAAAATTACCATATACCTTCTAATGTGTTGGAAAAACCACCTGAATTGTTAACTTAACAAACTTTATTAAATCTATTAAACTATTCTAAATACCTTCATAATGTTAAAGAAAAAATGTGTATCCACAAACTGGAAATTCAACAAACAAAATTCAACACTGTATTACTTTTGGCCTTCGTGTTTGTTTTGTCTGTCAGACCTCTGCTCTTATCACCCTCAAGAGTCACAGCATTACAGAGAATGGGAAACTCTGAATAATATCCTAATACTCAAAGCTATACTATACACTTGAATTTAAACAAAAAATATTAACAAGTTAAAGTTTAAAATAAATAAAACTACACTAACTGGTGTATGTGGGGTCTCTACCATTTAACAACTAATAACTATTAAAAACTTATCCAAACATATGGTAAATACTGTTTTATGTGAAACCCATATATGACACACACAAGACAATCCTCATTTATTGACCATGTCCCCCTTACTTTTACTGTAAACATGTGTCTGTAAATACATATATGTGTGTGCTGCTGTATGTGTATGTCAAATACACAAAATGAACGAGTGGTATGTGTTCATATGTTCTTTGAGTAGCAAACAGACTTATAATATACTTGGTTTTAATACGTGTACTGTAGTATCATCACAGTGTTAAAGACTTACCATTTCCATATTCTTGACCTAGAGAGTGTTCTAGATTTATTTACAGATGTGTAAATACAAGTATACATTTATTTACACTAGAATACACAATACTTTACCGTGTACCTTTACCGAGCCAAATTATTTTACATTCAAAAGTATAGAGTTGTGCTACACTTACTATTCACCTGTCTTGTGTTGTAATGCAACACTGAAATGTCCCCACTGTGGGACGTCTGAAAATCTCTTAATCTTATCATTACTGACTGTTGCTAAAATGAAAACTGACTAAAACAAGTGCAGTCTAAAGCTGCATTCACAAAAATACAGGAAAAAAAAAAACTGGGGTCCCCCTTTGGCCTTCGTGCACCTATTGAAGGAAAAATATAAAACCTTAGAATTACAAAAATATGCATTTGCCAAGTCTACCACTACAACAACAAAAATACTTGGCTTTAAACATTTTTGGAGTCCTCATGAGGAAAATAGATAAACGATTTGGACCTATTTTGCTCCTGGTTTATTTTGTTTATTGCAAAGATGGCTTTGTTTACGCCTCTGAAATGTACGATTACTCCAGCCTCTGCCAGAGTTATTTAACCTGCCTCATTTTCAGAGCAGTCGCTCTGACGTCTGGCACTGTCTCTCTGTGACGTAGAAGTCGAACTCTCCACGTCTCTATGTTTTGGCTGGAAATGTCTTTTCAGCTGTTTTATGCCAATCACACACTTTCACACTTCTGTTCCCAAAACTACAAGCCCCTCCCACTCTGCGGCTCTAGGCTCTAACAGAAACAATGTGTAATGTTGTGTGTGTGCTGTGGGTCATTATTGTCCTTATCTCTCTCATACCATTCTCTCTCTCTCTCTCTCTCAGACCAGTACATTCACCCCAAACTCTGTTTTCTACATCACAATCGAGCAATGCATATTTCCAAAGTTATGAAAACCTCAGGTCGTCTGACTAAAACATTACATTTACTAAATTGATTGTGGGATTTGGTGACAATTTACATTCAAATACATTATAGACAGACAACTTCTGTCAGAGTACTATTATACTACAAGGGATTTTTACCATCTTATTTCTTATTTTTACACACAGACCACAGATTTAGTCTCGGCTGTGGAAAACAACTGGGCAAAATCGAAAACACAGAAACTCTGTTTAACTCACAACCTTCAGATTATTCAGAACATTTCAATGGATTTA